TCTCTCTCTCTCTCTCTCTCTCTCTCTCTCTCTCTTTCTTTCTTTCAGGTCTTGCTTTGTTGCCCAGGCTGGAGTGCAGTAGCACTATCATTGCTCACTGCAGCCTTGAACTCCTGGGCTCAAGCAATCCTCTTGCCTTAGCCTCCTAAATTGGTAGGACTACAGGCATGTGTGACCCTCTGTGGCTAATTTTTTGTTTTTTTTTTTTAGAGATGGGTCTTGCTGTGTTGCCCAGGCTGATCTCAAACCCCTGACCCTAAGTGATCCTCTTACTTCAGCCTTGCAAAATGTTGGCATTACAGGTGTGAACCACTGTGTCTGGTTCAGTTTCCTTTGTTATAACTTTTTCTCCAGAAATATTTTCTTTATGTATTTATATAGTTATCTGTATCATTATTTGATTAATATATGACTCCTCTAGTAGTCTAGATGTTTTATTAGAGCAGATACCACTTACCATTGAATGTGTACCTAGGCTTAGTGACTGGAACACAGAGTATATTCAATAAATATGTGATGAATGGGTGGGTGGGCAGAAAGATGGATAAAAAGTTGGCTTGAATAATAAGAAAGAGTGAGTGAGGAAGGAAGGGAAAAGATAGAGAAAAAGTAGGAGTGAATTATGGCCAAATAACTTATAATGGGAGCAAATAGTAGTGCTTTACACTTATAAAATTACTTGTAAAAACACATAAATTTCTTTGCTTCTCAGTTCTCCTTGTCTTCACATTATAGCAAACAAATACTTCTCTGTAGGTGGCAGTGCACTTACGTAAGCCATTTTTTTCTGAAGGAAAAGGGTAGGGGTGGAATTATCTTGAACATTTGAAAGCATTTATGTAACTTGTATCTCATAGCTTTAAAAACCATGCTCTTATTTCCTATAATGTGGATGTATACACTTGACCTTAGCCAAAAGGCCGAGAAGCGATTATGTGGATGTATACATAATTTCAACTTGCCCTTAGTCTTTTTCTCTGTGAGGTATTAGTAAGTGTAAAACAGTAATCAGTTCTCATTTTATAACATGATTGAAATCAACATGCCTGTCAGGAATTTGGAAACAGGTGTTGTGAATAAAACAGTGGCTGGCATTTTAACAGTGATAGCATTTGTATTATAAAATAATTGAAACTGTGGCTAATATAGGTAGAACTGTTGGTCAAGTATATATCTCAACTAGCTTTGGGGCTGGAGACTTTTAAGTGGAAAAGTTTTGTGTTTTTTTTTCCCTGAGTACGTTACAAAGAATGACCTGTTGACCACCCCGCTCATGGATTTTATGTAAACAAAAAAAATCGAAACTTGAATTTATCTTTCTTAGAGTGTTTTGTACATACTGTTACCACCTATATTATCTAAAACTGCATACAATCTTAAGTGCACTACTCTGAGATTTGCCCCACTTTGTTTTCCATGTTGTAGTTTTATTCCAGTTTAATATATATGTATACATATCTCTATATATAATTTTAATTATATTAAATTTAAATTATATATCTATGTAATATATAATTTTATTTTTGCAGCACTTAAATGCAGAAAGGTCTTACAAGTCCCAGATTTCTACCTTACATAAGTCTGTTGTAAAAATGGAAGAGGAGCTTCAGAAGGTTCAGTTTGAAAAAGTGTCCGCTCTTGCAGATTTGTCTTCTACTAGGGAACTCTGCATTAAACTTGACTCAAGCAAAGAACTTCTTAATCGACAGCTGGTTGCTAAAGATCAAGAAATAGAAATGGTATGTAATACATTTTTTTAAAAAATTGCTATTACTGTGAAGTTAGCATAATTTTGGGAAAATAAATTCTTTTTTATGTAATATTACATCAAGCCATATCTTTGAACTTAGATTTTATTTTAGAAGTCTAAGAGATTCGTTTATGACAGCTGTATTCCAGACAACTTAAGACTGTAACAGAAACTCTTCCTTTTAGCGTGTAATTTGCATTTACTTTTAGCCGGAAGAATCATAAAACACATTGACATAGCAATCAGCAAAGAACCATGAGGTTGAGGTTTATTCAGCTAAACTTTAACTTTAATGATACTCTTTTACGCTGAATTTATTTACTAATGGGCCAGATTCTTTTAACTGTAACTCAGTTGATTGTATCTACTTTGTGCCTGACACTGTACTTGCCACTGGGAATATAATTTTCAAAAGATGTTAATTTCTGTCCTCAGGGATTTCCCATTGACATGCAAATAATTTGTAATGAATGATATGTTAATAAGAGATACTAAAAGCTTTATAGAGGCAATTTCTATTCAGCCCAGGAATATCAGGGAGGAGTACAAAAGGAGGTACTGCTGAGCTCTAAAGGAATGAGGCATCCCAATCAGGAAAAACAACATAGGCAAGGGTATGGAAGTATATATAGATTCTTGAGTGAGTAACAAGTACTTTGTAATGGCTAGTGTAGCGTGCACGGGAGGAAGTGACTGGAGAGATAGAGCTGTAATCCTAAAGGGGTATGTATAGAAGATGGATAGTGTATTTGAAATAGTGGCAAATTTTGGTCATGTTTAAATTTCTGTTATTACCAAACCCTATTGAACCTTTTATTTATTTATTTATTTATTTATTTAGAGACGGAGTCTCTTTCGGTCGCCAGGCTGGAGTGCAGTGGCGTGATCTCGGCTCACTGCCTCAGCCTCCCAAGTAGCTGGGATTACAGGCACACACCATCACGCTCAGCTAATTTTTGTATTTTCAGTAGAGATGGGGTTTCACCATCTTGGCCAGGATGGTCTCAATCTCCTAACCTCGTGATCCACCCACCTAAGCCTCCCAAAGTGCTGGGATTACAGACATGAGCCACCATGCCCGGCCGAACCTTTTGTTAGTCTGCAGTTGGATGATGCATTTGAGAATCATGCATCTATTTCGTTACTGTCAGAACCACTGTTAATGTTTTAATGAAGTGTTATATGCTGGAATTCTCACTCTTCAAATTATTTTTTATTTAAGAAGCTTTTAATGATGAAAGTAACTCAAGAATAGGTGGTCACTATAAAAATTCAAACAATACATCCTCTAAACGTTTTTACTGATGTTTTTAAATTGGAAAAGTCTTACGTGTTACTCAAACTGACACAATATGAAGTAGAAATATCAGAACATACACCAAAGCTTATTAAAAAATGTACTATGACTAGGTAGGGTATATTCTGGTAATCCTCTTAAAGTTTTGAAATCATTGCCCTTGGCAAAACTATATAAAAATCTTGATAATGATTTATATTAATTAAAAAAAATTTAAAGATGTTTACTCCAAGTTTTGTGACTTATTTCCTTTTCCCAAGGTGCTTTACGTTACCCTGACATTAATAATTTTTTTTTGCTTTGGAATTTGATTATTTATATTTGTATCTTTATCTCCTCAAAGTAACAATCTCAACCATCTTATTTATTTTTGTATTTCTTAAGCTGAGCTTTGTATATAGGAGGCACTCATAATTTTTTTCTAGATTAAACTCTTGATTTTGAGATAATGGTAGATTTGCATGCAATCATAAGAAATAATATAGAGAGATCCTGTGTAACCTTTACCTGGTTTTGCCCAATGGCAATATCTTTCAAAGTTATATATATTGCAAGACTATAATATATTGGATATTTGATATTGATTCAGGAAGATGCAGACCATTTCCATCACAGGAACCATTGTGATGCCCTTTTGTAGCCCCGTCTACTTCTCTCCTATTCCCAAACCCTCCTTAACCCCTTGCAACCATTAATCTATTTTCCATTTCTATAATTTTGCCATTTCATGAATGTTATATAAATGGAATAATACAATATGTAACCTTTTGGGAATTGACTTTTTCCACTCAGCATAATTCTAGGTCGTTTAATGTATCAATAGTTCCTTTTTATTACAGAGTAATGTACAGAGTATTACAATAATTCCTTTTTATTACAGAGTAATGTTCATCCTATTGGTTTAACACAGTTGGTTTAACCATTTACCCACTGAAGAATGTCGGAGTTATTTCCAGTTTTTGGATAGTACAAATAAAGATATTATAAACATTTGTGTTTAGGTTTTTGTATGAGCATAAGTTTTCATTTCTTTGTAAATGTCCAGGAGCGTAACTTTGGGTTCTTATGTTAGGTGCATGATTAACTTTTTAACCAAGTGCCAATCTGTCTTCCCAAGTATCTATACCATTTTGCATTCCCGCCAACAGTGTATGAATGACCTAGTTTCTCCACATCCTACCCAGCATTTGTTGTTGCCACTATTTTTTAATTTAGCCATTCTGAAATGTGTATAGTACTTTATTATGGTAGTTTTGATGTGTAATTTCCTTAATGACTAATTAACTTGAAATTCTCTTTGTGTGGTTGTCATCTCTGTATCTTCTACGGTGAAACGTCTCTTTGTTTTTTGTCCATGTTATCATTGGATAGATGTTTTTCTTAATGTTCAGTATGGAGAGTTCTTTATATATTCTAGGTACTAGTTCTTTATCACAGTGGTCCTCAAGTTTATTGGCACCAGGGACCAGTTTCATAGAAGACAGTTTTTCTACAGACTGGGTATGGGGGCGGGCAGGGGATGGCTTTGGGTTGATTCAAGAGCATTACATTTATTGTGCACTTGATTTCTGTTATTATTACATTATGATATATAATGAAATTATTATGCAAGTCACCATAATGTAAAATCACTGGGAGCCCTAAGATTGTTTTCCTGCATCTAGACAGTCCCATCTGGGGGTGTTGGGAGACAGTGACACCTGAAAGGTATTGCTTATGTCCAGTCTATAATCTTGTCTTGGTTGCTGTCACTGAAGAAAACCCTGCTTCACAAAGATAGGATGTTGGAAATGGAAGCAGCCTTTTCAGTGCTTTTGTGGCAATATCAGGAGAGTCAGGCTTGACTTTAATCCAGAACGTCTGGATTTGAAGTTGTCTCAAACATACTTTTAAAGCCGCCATCATTTGTATCTCAGGCAGTTGATCCTCTTCTAGCACGGACAAAATCGATTCACCTGGCATACTCACAAATGGATTGCGGATCCATTCTTTCCAAGTTTGGGGGTCTTTTGTGATTAGGAAGTAGCTCAAACTCTTTTGAAAGCTGAGATAGGTGATCATGCACCAGCTGGGAGAAAGGCAGCCCTGGCTCAGCCTCTTTCAAAATCTCTGCTGTTTGAAACACGTCAAAAATCCCAGTGTTCACTCGTTGCCCCCAAAATTCCAGATTGGCCTTGCTTTTGTTTTGTTTTGTTTTCGCTATGTTGCCCAGGCTAGAGTGCAGTGGCACGATCTTGGCTCACTACAACCTCTACCTCCTGAGTTCAAGTGATTCTTCAGCCTCCCGAGTAGCTGGGATTACAGATGCCTGCCACCACACCTGGCCGATTTTTCATTTTTAGTAAGACGGTATTTCACCATGTTGGCCAGGCTGGTCTTGAACTCCTGACCTCAAGTTATCTGCCTGCCTTGGCCTCCCAGAGTGCTGGGATTACAGCAGTTTAGTTTTGAATACAACCACTTTGTCTGCCAACTTGAACACAGTTGTCATTCTCCCCTGAAGTGACAAATGGAGTTTGTTGAGCAGATTGTATATGTCACACAAGTAAGCATGTTTTGAGACCTATTCTGTGTCACTCAAATGTGCTGCTAGTGGTGACATTTTCTAAAAGAAATGTGGCTCTCATAACTCAAAAACTCTGGCCAGTGGTACACCTTTAGAAAGCCATCTCACTTTTGTGTATAAAAGAAGATATGTTTGCTCTGCATTCGTTTCTTCATGGAGCTATGTGAACAGATATGAGTGAAGGGCATGTACTTTAATGTGGCTGATAATTTTATTATTATTATTTTTGAGATGGAGTCTTGCTCTGTTGCCCAGGCTGGAGTGCAGTGGTGCAATCTCAGCTCACTGCAACTTTTACCTCCCAGGTTCAAGCAATTCTCCTGCCTCAGCCTCCTGAGTAGCTAGGATTACAGGCATATGCCACCATGCCCAGCTAATCGTTTTTTGTATTTTTTTTTTTTTTAGTAGAGATGGGGTTTCACCATGTTGGCCAGGATGGTCTCAATCTTTTGACCTCATGATCTGCCCACCTCAGCCTCCCAAAGTGCTGGGATTACAGGCATGAACCACTGCACCTTGCCAGCTGATAATTTTAATCACATCCTACAAAACATTGTTAAGTTCAGGTGACAATTTTTGGATAACCAGCATTTCTCTATGGATGACACAATGTGTAGATTCACATTCAGAAGCAACCCCTTTGACCCAAGTAATGAAATCAGAAAGCTGTCTAGTCATGGCAATCCCTCTGTCTGCGATATGCTGACATAAAACGACCAATTCAGTTTTCCTGATATTTAATCATCCAAAGACTTGAGTAGTCTGCAGCTGTGACATTGGTTGGCAACAAAAGTGCACATAACATACTCAGTTAGGAAAAGAGGAAGTCAAATTGTCTCTATTGCAGATGACATGATTGTATATTTAGAAAACCCATTGTCTCAGCCCAAAATATCCTGAAACTGATAAGCAACTTCAGCAAAGTCTCAGGTTACAAAATCAATGTGCAGAAATCACAAGCATTTCTATACACCAATAACAGACTAACGGAGAGCCAAATCATGAGCGAACTCCCATTCACAATTGCTACAAAGAGAATAAAGTACCTAGTAATACAACTAACGGAGGATGTAAGGGACCTCTTCAAGGAGAACTACAAAAAACTGCTCAAGGAAATAAGAGAGGA